GGAGCCGCGTCCCGCCCCGCCCTTCCTCCGCCGTGGCCCCGCCCCTCTTCCGCCGTGGCCTCGCCTCTCCCTCTGTGGCCCCTCCCCTCCCTGCCGTGGACCCGCCCATCCTGATGAGGCCCCGCCCCAGCCTGGGCTGCGCTGCGTCGCTAACTCGCGCCCCGCGTAGGCTCAGCTCCCTCTGATCATCACACCTGCTTTGTTTGCTTATTAACAAAATAAATAAATAAAGCAAAAACTGCCGAACCCTCCTGAGCCCGGCCCGGAGCCAACCCCGACCTCGCACTCATTCCGCGTTCCCGGCAGTTGCTGGCTGCTGTGTGGCCCTGGGTTGGCCTGCTGCACCCTGTCTGGCGGGGCCAGGGCTCCTGTCCCCCCGCGCCCTCCCCTCTCCCCGGCGACAAGGGTCCCAATAGAGGAGACACGTGTCTCACGTTGCCTTTATGATGCTCAACGTAGTTTTTTTTTTAAAAACCTGTGTAATTTTACTGTCCCCCCCTTTCATTTCAGTACCGCGCACTGCGGGGTGTGCTCAAGGGTTTCATCCCCAGGATAAATATCTGGGGGCTCTGTGCCCTTCCTGCTTGCTTTATGCAACCTCGCGGTGTCCCACAAACACAGACAGTGACAGTTGTTCTTGTCTAAGCAGCCCAAAGTCCCCTTTGCCTCCTTCTCCTGGCCAGTCTATAGAAAGTGCGCAGAGAGGGCAGTAGTCTGAAGCTGGTAGCCCTGGGCTCTTCATACTTTTTAGGGTTTTTTTGTTTCCTTTCTCCCTATGTAGTCTAGTCTGGCTTTGAACTTGAGATCTTCCTGCCTATGTTTCCCAAGTACAAGGATTACAGGTGTGCCCTACCGTGGCTGGTTCTTTGTACATTTTTAAATGTTGCCTTTAATTTTCCTGAAGGAAGAGACCAACACTGTGGAGACAGTTCTAGAAGTTGTCCCATGTCATTTTCCCACCAGGGAGTGAACAGAAGTTTTCCTGCACCAAACCCAGCTTTGTCCCCAGAACACTTCCATAGCAAACTTTCCCCAATTGTCCTCCTTCCAGATTGTTCTAGAATTACTGTGGCCTCCCTGCTGCATTTACTGCCCCAGCAGCCAGGAAGGACTGTGAGCCAGCCAGTCCTCTCTCTGCCCTCCCTCCTGGTCTCTTGTCCTAGTAGGGGCAGGCTTGCCTGGATAGAAAACCAGAACCTGATTAGGGTAGGTCTGGGCCCTTTGAGCTAAGCTTCCAGTCTTACCATTCACCCCGTTACCCACATTTATGTGTGTTGCCTACCAGTGCTGGGGCTTGAACTCAGGTCCTGGGGACTGTCTTTTAGCTTTTTCACTCAAGGCTGGTGCTCTACTATTTGAGCCACAGCTCCACTTCCAGTTGTTTTTTTTTTGTTTTTTCTTTTTGTGGTTAGTTGGACATAAGAGTCTTATAGACTTTCCTGCCCAGGCTGGCTTCAAATCCTGATCCTCCGATTTCAGCCTCTTGAGTAGCTGGGATTGCAGGTATGAGCCATTTAGCCACTCACTTTTTTTTTTTTTTTCCTCTCTTTCCCTAGAGACAAGAAGAGCAGCAGCGACACCGCCCGTCTCCTTGGAGGGTCCTGTACAATATCATCATGGGACTTCTGCCCTTACCCAGGGGCCCTGGAGCCCCACAGATGGAGCCCAATTAGGCCCCTGCACCCACCCTGTGGACGTTGGAGACTTGGGGGGCAGGACCCCCCCACCTCCTGATGCCCTGGCCAGCACGGGGGACCTTTTCTGCTCCGTCTAGCAACCTGCCTGTCCAAAGGGCGGACAGGGCGGCCACTGCAGCAGCGGCCAGCCTGGGTTCGCTGACGGAGGTGTGGACTTCAGAGCCCGGGCCAGAAGCTGGGAAGGAGGGCAGCCGGGACCTCAGCATGTGGAGGCGGCGGTGACCCAGGGGTGGGGACCGAGCCGCCTGCCTCTGCCGCCCACCACCATCTCAGGAAAGGCTGCTGGTGCTGGCTGCCTGTTCCAGCTGCAAGGGGAGGACACTGGGGGAGGGGGTCTCCCCTGTGAGCCTTTACTTTGGGTCTGGCCTCAGGCCCCTGGTGCTTCCCCCCTTCCTCATGGGGAGGGGGCCTGTGAAGAGCAAATGAGCCAAACGTGACCACTAGCCTCCAGAGAATGGGGTGCTTCGGATGGCCCCCCCTCATCCCCAGCCATCTTCCCTGAGCCGCCGGTGGGCAGTGGGCATGCCTGCCTCACCTTCATCTGGGGGTGGCCAGGAGGGGCCCAGACTGTGAATCCTGCGTTCTGCCACCACCCCCATCCCCGTCAACCCATCGCATAGGTTTAGAGAGAGCACGTATGATCACTGGCGTTCATTGGGGGGGGGTGGGAGAGATTTTTGGCGGAAGCCGGCCCAGCCTTAGCCACCTCCCCCCAGGGTCAAGTGTTGTGGGGGGTGTGTATGGGGGGAATGGCGAAAGCTGGGGTCCGGGAGGGAGGGAGGGAGTCTCAGAAGAGGGCGGAGTCTGGGAGCGGGGAGGGGTGGCCTAGCCTTGTAAAATACTGTACATGCGCTGCTGTAGATACGGAATGAATTTTCTGTACATGTTTGGTTAAATTTTTTTTGTACATGATTTTTGTATGTTTCCTTTTCAATAAAACCAGATTGGAACAGTGGATACTCTTTTTGCTCGCCTTCTCCTACACACACACACACACACACACACACACACACACACGAGAGGCTTTTGTGCATGCACCCAGCCTCTAGCATCTCTGCTCAAGTTGCTGAGTGTTTTAGTCCCTTTTACCCCGAGAGGATTTGTATGCACTAAATAAATGGATGGACTCAGGTCTAAGAAGCCCACTGCATCAAGCACTGGATGCATTAGACATGAAACATAACCTGGTCATTGCCAGGGGAGAGGGAAACATCTGGCCTGGTAGAGGACAGACTACCTAGGTGCATCTAGGATCAGGACAAAGGCACCTACAGCTGCCCTAAATCCCTGCATCCAATCCACAGGAGAGTCTCATGCTGACTTGCTATTACATTAGGAGGGGAAGATTGTCCAGAGCTGATAGCTTACATCTGTGAGGCTGAGATCTGAGGATCACAGTTCAAAGCCAGCCTGGGCAGGGAAGTCTGTGACTCTTATCTCCAATTAACCACCAGAAAACAGTGGCGCTGTGGCTCAAAGTGGTAGAGTGCTACACTTGAGCAGAAGAGCTCAGGGACAATGCCAAGACACGAAGTTCAAGCCCCATGACCAACAAAAAAAATGCTGGAGGTGTGGCTCAGTAGTAGAGGGCCTGCTTGGCAGAGTTCAAAATCCAGTATTGTCAAAATAAAGGGGGGAGGGGTGGCTGGGAAAGTGGCTCAGTGGTAGAGTGATTGCCTTACATGCATGAGGCCCTGGGTTCGATTCCTCAGCACCACATAACCAGAAAAAGCTGGAAGTGGCGCTGTGACTCAAGAGGTAGAGCGAAGCTGGGCACCACTGGCTTACGCCTGTAATCCTAGCTACTCAGGAGGCTGAGATCTGAAGATCACGGTTCAAAGCCAGCCTGGGCAGGAAAGCCCATGAGACTCTCTATCTCCAAAAAACCACTAGAAAACCAGAAGTGGCGCTGTGGCTCAAGCGGTACAGCGCTCACCTTGAGCTGAAGAGCGCAGGGACAGCGCCCAAGCCCAGAGTTCAAACCCCACGACCGACAAAAAAAAAAGTGCTAGAGCAATAGTCTTGAGCTGAAGAGCCGAGGGACAGTGTCCAGGCCCACAGTTAAGGCCCCACCACTGACCAAAAAAAAAAAGAACAAATCCTCCTCATTGGGAACAATAGAATTATTGTATATGGTTAAAAGTGAAAAAAAGAAGCTGGGTGTTGGTGGTTCACTGATCCTAGCTACTCAGTAGGCTGAGATCTGAGGATCATAGTTGAAAGCCAGCCAGCCTGAGCAGAAGAGTCCTGTTAAGATTCTTTATCTCCAATTAACTATACCAGAAAACCAGGAGTGGAGCTTGGGCTCAAAATGGTAGAGCACTAGCCTTGAGCAAAAGAACTAAGGGACAGCATCCGGGCCCAATTCAAACCCCATAACAGATAAGAACAAAGGTAAGTGCTTATGGACAAGCATGGTGGCATATACCTGTAATCTGTTTTCTTGGGGAGGCAGAAGAGAGTGGGAAATTTAAGATCAGCCTGGACCTCAAGATTCTGCCTCAAATTAAAAAACTCCCCTAATTCCTTGCTAGCAGGGGTGGTTGACAAAGCCAGTGGCTAGGAAAAAATGATACTATGGTTTGGTGCAGACTCCTGGCCCGGCCTCCTGGGGACTGGGGTTGGACCTGAACTGTGTGGATACTCAGGCCCATATGACTTAGCTGACAGCGTCCTGTCAGCCTCCTTTCAGCTAGGATTATAGGCGAGAGCTCTGGCACCCAGCTAAAGTGCAACTCTCTTGAAAGACCTATCTGTCAAGGGTAGGAACATTGTGAGATCAAGAACTTTCTAGAACCCTCCAACTGGTAACAGTGCCCTACCTTCCTGAAACATGGTAGGCACAAACAGGTAGTATGGGAGGTGATAATTTGGAGTGATTTCCTCACAGGGCTGGCAGCTTCAAGTACTGCTGCCCTCTCCCCCAATCCCAGATGGGATCCTCTGATAACTTAATCTCTGTCCTCATCCTTAGGAAGGTAGAGGGTGGAAAAGTTGGGATGTGTCAAAATTTTCCTATTTCGTTGTCCAAGTTCAGGCCCACTTACGCCCCCTCGTGACCAAGGCTGCACATTGCAAAGACAAAGCTGTAATTAGCTCCAATTTTTAAAGACCCTGGGACCTGGCATGGGGCAATGAAACTGCTGACCCCGATGGTGCCAGGACTGCAGTAATGTGCCTGGAAGGGGAGCACTGCAGACAGGCCCAACAGACCCAACCCACCCAGGGCAGCGGCGGGCCAAGGGCCAGGGATGTCCGCCCCTCCTCCTGGTGGGGACCAGGGTTCCCTACTGATGGCTGCGCTTTTCCAGCAGGATCCTTGCCGGCTTATACCCAGACTCCACCACACTGGGCCAATTCCCCTGGCTCCAGGTTTGTCCTCATTCTTGCCAATGACAAGATGTAACAGAAAGGGCTGGGAAGGTGGCTGTGCATGAGGCCCTGGGTTCGATTCCTCAGCACCACATAAGGAGAAAAACAAATACCAAAAAAAAAAAAAAAAAGATGTAACGGAAGCCCCTACAGGTCCGGCCTTCGAGTAAAGGATGGCATCTTCCCCTGACTTTTTTTTTCTGATCTGGAAGTTTCACAAGTAGAGGAAACCAAATTCTAAAGCAAATAACTTTATTATCATTTCTCACGAAACAAATGAAGAAAATGTAGAAAATAGCTATAACACAGAAGAGCCGTGGGGCTCCCTGCCCGGTGGACGGGCACAGCCTCGGCAAAGGCCTGCAGGGCCACGCGCCAAGGACAGGGTTGGCGGAGGAGGGCACCGCACCCGCCAAGAACCAGAACAGGACTTCCCCAACACTGCAGGCAGAGGCGCTTGATGATGCTCTGGAGGAGCTGGGGTTCCAACTAGGGCTCCCTTAAGTCTGGGCCTAGTCCCCACCTGAAGTCACACCCCTCCTGTGGGCTCAGCTGAGGAACAGGGCTGAGAAGTCAGGAGGCAGGCTGCTCCTTGCAGGGAAGCTGGGGTAGAGCAGGGCTGTGCCACCCTCCCGGGTAAAGGACATCAACAGATGGTGGCAGGTGGCAGGCTTGGGCTTACTTGGGGCCCAGGCACTCCACAACCCCACTGCCCTTCATACCATCAAAGAAGAAGAAGTTGTTGTGTGGTGGGTCCCTCTGAGACAGGGCCTGTGAAGAGAAAGACAAAGCACCACTCAGCTCAAGCACCTTCTAAGAGCTACAGAAACTGAATAGCGCAAGGGGCATGTGTGTATGTATCTCAGCTGGGCCCAGAGGCCACTGGGCAATGTTGGGGGACCATTGCTAAGCCTCTCAATATCCCTCTGTCCACGCACAAAGCGGATCTCAGGCGGACAGTGCCTCAAGACACCTCAATGGAAAAGAAAGCACAGGAATTGTACCTAGGGCCTGGCCGGCACTCTCCTATGGGACTGCTCCCGCACCCCTCCCCCCACTTCCTGCAGCCTTTGAGCCATCTTTCAGCATCAGTCCTGTCTGGTATAGCAGACTCGGTGCTGTGGACCTGAGGGAGGGGACTTTGCACAGCTGCCCGCCTTCTCCGGTTTACTTTACGTAGGTGGTCAGCTGAGGCCACCACTGCTCCTGCCAGCTGGCTGCAGGGAAGCAATGCTAAGCAGGGGTGTGGTGGGATGAGAGCAGGGCACGGGGTGAGCGAGGGGCAGGGTGGGTAGGAGGAGACGCAGCAGCAGGAATGTGCAGTACTCTGGCTGCCCCGTAAACAGAAACAAGACACTGGCCCACAGCTGTCCGCCAGCAGGAAGGAGGGGATGCACAGAAGCCCCTGTGCAGTGGGTCGAGGCCACCCGCCCACCACCCTCCACTGCTCACTCAGACTCAGACTTCAGGTTCAACTGTGGTTCCACATCCCCTCCTGGCCAAGAACTTACGACCCCAGCACTTAGGCGGTTGAGGAGGATGGCGGATTTGAGGCCAGGCTGGGGCTACACAGGGATATCCCACCTCAAGAATCTTAAAAGATCCTCAGGAGGTTGAGACCCGAGGATCATAGTTCGAAGCCAGCCTGGGTAGGAACAGTCAAGGCTCATCTCCAATTCAACCACACACACACACACGCGCGCGCGCGCGCACGCACGCACGCACACACTGGCACCAATCTGCCCCCACAGGACACTTTACCTTCACGATCTCTTGTGCCAAGATCCCTCCAACTACTGCACACACCGGGGCCATCTCAGAGAAGCAGTACCTAGAGAGATGGGACGGCAGTACTGGGGTGATGAGGACTCAGCCCCTTCCCCTCCCTCCCTCAGGAAGAACTATAGAGACAGCGAGGCTAAGGCCTGACCTGGAGAGCGCCCCAGTGGGTGGCAAGGACACTTTCGCACACTTTGTGTTTGTCCCTCTTACGTTGTGGGAGCTCTCCATCTGTGCTTCCTAATAATAAGGTGGCAGGTGGCAGAGGTCCAGCGGCTGGGCACATTCTCCTAATTCTCTCCGCAGCTCGGGCGCTGCGCTCAGTATGCTGTTTGCAGACAATGCCAGGAAGCAGGCAAAACAAAGCCCTTACAACCCAGGGCCACACCAAGCACAAACTAGAGGACAAACTCAAGCTGCTACTGTTACCCAGCCTTCCAGCTCACCCAGCCAAAGACCCATGTCCACCCCCCACCCCCTAGGGTCAGTCCTGACCTCAACCCTAAGGGCTTGTCCACAGAGGGAACCCACACACAACCACCCCAGTCAGCTTCCCCCAGAATTTCTCAACCACCTCTGATCCCACCCCAGCGCACACTCCTTCCAGACAGCACCACCAATGTATAGCCTGAGCCAGAGCGGTGACTCGCCACTCATCCTAGCGACTCAGGAGGCTGAGGTGAGCCCATGGCAGGAAAGTCTGTCTGTTACACTCTTATCCCCAATTAATCAGCAAAATGCCGGAAATGGGGAGTTGTGGCTCAAGTGGTAGAATGTGAGCCTTGAACACAAAAACAAAGCTCAGGGACAGCTCCCAAGCCCTGAGTTCAAGCCCCAGGACCTGAACCAAAACAAACACAACAATGAAAGGTACAGCCTGAGTACCAACAACCACTTGGTTTGGTCTACAACATTGGTGGGGGGCAAGGCACAGGGCACCTGGACCATGCAGCCTGGCGCAGGGGTCCAGAACCTCTCCGCCTGCCCAAGGCTTGCGCCAATGTGGGAGATTGCCACATCTGTACACACAGGCAACATGCTGGCCACCAGGCTAGAGCCATTCCAACTGCCACAGCAGGTGGAGAATGTTCATTTTATTATGTCTATCTTGCCACAATAAATACGTGGATTATATTGGACACGTATTGTACATATATTGTATATGCAAGTGATGAATGTTTCCCAAGCACGACAGGTGATAAAGCAGTCTAGTAAGCTAAGTGCAGTGACACAAGGCAAGAGGCTGGAGAAACGGGCTGCTGAGCCCACTACAGAAATAATGCTTGACCCCTCTCCCACCCTCAAGCAGCCGATCCACTGAGGCTGAGCCCAGCACCTTCTCACACGGTGGACCCGGGCGTGTTACCTTCCTCATCAGAAAAGCAATAAAGCTTCCTGATTGTGTCTGTGAAGAGAACAAGTGGGCGGCGGGGGAAGAGCACGGCAGGCCCCCGGGAGATGAGGGAAGGAGAAACTTGTGCACAGTCTGGGTGGCAGCGGCACTAGGGTGGCTGGGGCCTGTGCGAGGGTAGCTCAGCTGCCAGGCGGTGGCTCATTTCTGTGCCTACGTCCCTGGCCCATCTCAGCTCATCTGGAAGCCTGGCTCCAGAGACTTGAGAGTCACTCAACACCTCTTACTTAGCAGGCAATAGAGGAGCACCTGCGCTCTGGGCCAGCCAGCCACAGACATGGGGAGGGGGAAGAGAGGGGGAAGAAAGGGGGGTGTCCAGGTCCAGTGGCACCAGGACACTGGGCAGCTGTGGCCACCACTGGCCTTGGTGGCTGGGTGGTGGCTCTCTCAGCCATCCTTCCTGGGCCATGAGTGCGCCCCACCCACTTAAGCTGGACCCCACCTGAGACCGAGCGCCACCAGCCTGAAACTGCACGGTGACACTGATACTGTAATTACCTTATGGATGAGAGGTTTTTGGTTTGTAGCACTGAGGGTGGTTGGAAGACAGTGGTCCCTGGGATGGGTAGGGACGTGGCACAAGGCGAGGGGTGCATGGTGGGTTTGTCACAGGACGAGAAGGGACAGGGCTGGCAGGGGAGAGCCGATGCGAGACTCCGGGGTGAGGGAGAAAGGACCCAGAAGGAAGGGGTTGTGGCTGCCCACTGCTGGGGGTCAGGGGGTGGCATGGGCACCCTAGGCAACTACTACTAAGCTATGGGCATGTGACCTCACCCAACTGAAGCTGACTGCAGCACAGGGCAGAGGACACTGCGGCCTGGATGTCTGCTGGAGGAGGGAGGGACAAGCAAGCCAACCTTTGGGTACAAGTGGCAATTCCTGGGTCTCCACATCCTGGGGGCCAGACGATGGACACATGCAGCACTGAGCAACCTTGGAACCCCCAATAAGACACGTTTGGGAGCAGGCAAGTGGCTCTATAAGCCACACGGCTCCCCACAACCACAGCAGAGGGGAACGACCCAAAGAGAATATGAGAGAAAGGCAGAGAATAGCTTCAGTAACAGCTCCTAACGCCCGCTTCCAAGCCACGAGAACCAAGTATAGCACTCTACCACTTGAGTCATAGCGCCACTTCCGGCTTTTTCTGTGTATATGATACTGAGGAATCGACCTCAGGGCTTCGTGCATGCTAGGCAAGCACTCTACCACTAAGCCACATTCCCAGCCCCAAGAACAAAGTACTTTTATGAAAACCACCTCCTTCCTTTCCCTCTTCCCTGTTCTTCTCTACAGGGTCTCTGTGTATCCCAGACAAGCTGCCTGCGCTCTCGGCCCTCTGTCTTCCGAGGGCTGGATTACAGGCGTATCCACCATACCTAGCCACCTCCCTAATGGGTACATATCACTACAACAGTGGAGGGTGAGCAAAGTGCGGGTGCAGGAGGAATGAGACACACAGGAGCTCTCCTGACTTTGGATCTTGTGGCCTCTGAAAGTGGGGCACAGTGAGCCACGTTCATGAATCCAGGCTAAGTCCTGAGGAGCACTGAGCACCCACCTGACAAAGTCATCGGGCAGCAGGTCAGGATGGACGCCCAGGGTGTCGAGCACGTCGTTGCGGATCTGGAGCAGCAGCTCGGAATCCTCCCTGCAGGTACTGGAACCAGGGTCTCTTCCTTTATCTGTGCGGAACTTTAGAAGAACTGAGGGGAGAAAGGGGTGTAAAGGTTCTCTTAATGAATGCTTCCAGGTATGGACTAAGAAATCTGTGCTAAAGGAAGGAGTCCATTGTTGAAACACAGGCCAAGCGAAAGCAGCACACCTTTCCACTGTCCAACATGGCCAGCACCGAGGCAACCAGATGGCTACAGAGCAAATCCCCCATGACAGGAGTGACAGTGATGGTGGAATGGGGGCCCTGCTGCAAGTCAGGTGGGACTTCCAGCACAGGCAGGTGTGGTTCTTCCAGAATGTGCCCTGTGGACCCTTCTACATTCCAGCCATCACAGCATGATGGGTGATTACACTGGTGTGAGCCTTGATTTCTGCCCCCGTTTGTACTAGCAAGATTCTGAGGCAGCTTTATCTCTCTCTCTCACACACACACATACACACACACACAGAGCTGGCAGGCTGACACTGTCCACAGGCTTCGCTGACAACATCTGGAAGGCTCCCAGGACCACTGGAGAGTGGCCAGAAGTTGGGCCTTATTTGCAGCAAGGAAGGCTTCTCACTCTTTTGAAGTCAGCACTCTAGTTAGCACAGTGGGACGGGGGTGGGGGGGGAGTGAGTGGGTGAAGAAGCCATGTTCTAGAAGGGCAGCAGCCTCAGGTCTGACCCTAGCCCCAGATAAAGTTCTTGCTCATTCCATCTTCCTCTTTTGTGTTCTGCTGCACGCACGCGCATGCGTGAAGGCTTGGACATGGACGGACACGGACACGCACACACACATGCACACACACTCTGGCTGTCGGCTGCATTTCTGAGGAGCCCTTCCCCAGCAGTGTGCAGACATCAACCGTTCGTTCGGTAAGATCAAACACTCGGGGAAAGGGAGCTGTCTGCTAAATGTGACTCATCCGACCGTGTCCAAACACTGCTCAAGTTCACTTCCCAACTTGATTAACTTCATCTGAACCTTTTAATTAACTTGAGCTGCTCAAGTCCTGGGGACCACACACTCCGCAGGAGATGCGGGCTGCTGTCTGCTCAAAGTTTATTTTAAGATGGAGTCTCATTAGGCTGGAAGTCACCACCTTCCTGCTTGGCCATTGAAACACAGAGATGACCGGCATGCACCACCACCCCTTTTTTCCTTTTTAGAAACTTTCTGCTCTCAAATATTGCGGGGATGCAGCTGAGAGGCGGCATGGCAAACTCAGACAGACCCCAAACAACCAAACGCTGTGATCGTAGCTCATGCGGTTTTAGTGAAATTGCTGCATCACCGCACAATGAAGTCACAATCACTACACTCCTGACGGGACTGCACGCTTCCCCTCTGTCCTGATCTCCCAGGAGGGGAGTTTCTAAAAAAACAAAAATTAAAAATCACCCCCAATGGCCCTCCCCCTGCCCCTGGGAGCTCACCAATTAGAGCAGCACACAGGACTCTGAACTAGCTAACTAAAATGTCAGTGTCACCCTGATCTCTGACAGGACACCAAGTGTGAACAGTGTGGGCCACGCAGAGGCAGATCACACGCAGACCCGTCGTGCAGGGCCTTGTGTCCGCCAGTGTCACAGGGCTGCTGGGACAGAGGCCGACACACACACCGCCCTGTCTGCCACAAGCGGCAGGGAAAGAGGGTCTTTTCTCCAGTCCAGCACTTGAGTGGCACATGACCTGGGCTCTGGGCATCTGCTGTGCTCTGCCAACCACACTTGCCCCGGAACATGGCACAGGACATCCCCGTGACTGTTGTCTGACAGTCAAAGAGAAGATGTGAGGCTTTCAGCAAGGGCTGCAGCTGGCCTTGGGGCCCGGGGCAGATGCTGGGGAGGGGGGTGGGGTGCCGCCTGGAAGAAAACACCAGGCAGGTTGTAGACAATGTGGCCCATTCTTGTGTGCTCATCTCGTGGGCCTCAGTTTCCCTTCTGCAGAAGGACAACAAGAGAGGGCCTATCCCAGGCTTCCTGTTCAGTTCAGAGACACAAACAGTGAGGATGGCATTGCAGTGTGGCCAGCGGAAAGGCTGCCTGGCATGTGGGAGGGAGAACACTCATGTAGGGGTCAGGGAGATTTCACGCGACCATTACCAGTACTGATGTGCCTGGTTGCCATGAACCCCAGTACACAAGGGAGCCCTGGCGCCGGCCTGTTTTGGAGATTAAGGGGCTGAGTGGGTAACTGCTGTCTGCTTCTCAAGGTAGAGCTTCTGCCAGTGCCTCCTTTCTAATCGACCCTGGGCTCTGCCTTGTCTGCTGCTGATAAGCCAGTGCTACACACAAACACCAACCACTGGGTTTTTTTTTTTCCCCTCCCTACAAATTATTTTTAAACATCTGTGGTCATGACAGCAGCAAATCACCATGTGTTCAGCTGCCACCCCATTATCGGAGACCATTTCCCTGTGGCTGTCTTTCCCCCTTCCATAGGATTCGTCATTGTTGAACACCAACAATATCCTCGTTGGAGAACAAATGTTCTGTCCAAAAAGTGGGGGTGCCTACGCATCGCCTGCTTGGCAAAGGTTTACAAATGCTAAAATAAGACTTGGGTGTGGTGGCTCATTCCTGTAGTACCAGCTACTTAGGAGGCACAGAGGAAGAGGATCTGGGGTTAAGGCCAGCCCAGGCAAGTCAGTGAAACCAATCTCAACAAATAAGCCAGGCAGTGGTGGCATGCTTGTAATCCCAGTTATGTGGCAGGTCCGATAATCCAAACCAGCTGAAGGCCTGGCTCAAGGAGTACAGTCTGCCTAGCATCTGTGAAGCCACATTAAAATCCTTTCCTGTCAATAAAAATTATGCTTACATATTTGCTCAAAGCCAGGATTCACATGAAGTTCCCACCAGTATGAAAACCAGAACTATGGCTCAACACTAATCTATACTTTGCTCTTTTTCACCTGGGTCCAGTGAAAACCCAGCTAGTGCAGTGTCTTCCTTTCACTCCTCTCCCGCACTATCACCATTTGAAGCACTAAATGCATATTTACATAAAAACACAACTAGTAAACTGAGGCTTTGCTTCAGGACAGGTTCTGATTGGGCTGGCTTCAAATTGGGATCTTCTGATCTCAGCCTCCAGAATAGCTAGAATTATAGCCTTGAGCTGCTCCTCCTCTTTCCCTTCTCTCTCCTCACTGCTCCCACCCCCAAACATTCTGCTATGTATCTTAAGACTGGCCTCAAACTTGGAATCCTCCTGGACACTGGGATTACAGGCATGTACCACAACACCCTGCTACATCATTCTTTTCCCCCAAGCTCCTCAGTTTCTGACAGATGGGTGAGGTGATGGGGGAAGCTGGCACCACAGAAGGGTTCCTGCTGCTGGCAGCTGTGTCTTATCTAGCGGGGGTGGGCCACTGTTGCTCCTGCAGAACAATGCTGCCACCCTTCCCATGTGCCAGACTTTATGCCTCTCCAGGGAAGGCCATGCTCAGCTCAGGAGCCTGCATATCAGTTGGTCTGGGGGCTATGATGGAGGAATTCTGACATACCCACAGAGAGACCACCGGGATCTCATGGCTTTTCCTGTCTCCTATGAGGCTCTCCTGACAGCCTACGCAGGCGCTTGCAGGGTCTCCCACATAACTTCCCAGCTTCAATTCTATGCTCAATTCTTCAATTCTGTACCCTAGTACTTTTCCATCATTCATCAGAGAAAAGCCTGGAAGATAAGGCTGCTGAGGACCGTGATAAACATCCTCATGTTGAAATAGGCCACGCGCGCAAGCTCTCCCTGGCCTGGACTGAAGTTTCGTGGTCTTGTTCATGCTGCTTCGTGAGTGCTGTTTCCATACCAGACCCACTATTTTTAGCAATCCTGTTATGATAAACTCACAGTAACCTCAAAAAGAACAAATCAAAGTCAATGTTTTGCCACAGGAAACCAGCTCACTCTTAATGTTTTTCCAACATGTTACAAAAAAATAATAAAAAGATGAAGCCGTTTTGTCACAGATGGCCAGGCTAACCTGAAAGATAGTGGAAAAATGCAGCAGGAAGTACTCAGTCCGGCCACCATCTTGTTATGTAAACTGGAAAAACACTCCACACACAAACGTGGTGAAGACACACATGCACATAGCTGCTTCACTGCAAGTAGAATTATGAATGAGGCAGCAAGAAACATCTGTGGGGGCAGGGTGCAGGCCAGTGCCAGAAGACATGGGATCAAAAGTCTGGGGGAGGCTGGGTGTCAGTGGCTCACACCTGCAATCCTAGCTACTCAGAAGGCTGAGATCTGAGGACTGTGGTTCGAAGCCAGTCTAGGCAGCAAAGTCCATGAGACTCCTTATCTCTTCTAAGCTGTTTGATGGGGGAGCTATGGTTCAAGTGGTAGAGTGCCAGCTATGAGCAAAAAAAAAGCTAAGAGGCAGCACCCAGGTCCTGAGTTCAAGCTTAGTACCAGCACCCCCCAAAATAAAGAAACCAAAAATGTATCCATAACTTTTCCTCAATCACATGGCAACAATGTGTCCCGGCCTAGGGGCAGTGGCTCCATTCCTGAAAGATGCATGGGAAGCAAAGGAGGAAACTGAGGAAGGGAAGAAGCAGGGAGGAGAAGGAAGATGCAGCTCAACTCAGCCCTAGGGAAACAAGAGGAAGCTGTCTAAATGCAACTGGAAGATCAGATGAGCACTATTCAAGACAAACTCTGCAGGATACATCTCCCTGAGAAAGAGCTATAGTCATGTGGACACCTTCCCAGGCCTTAGAGAGGACACAGGAGTGTAGACAGCTGGCCCAGGGACTCCAGCAGCCTGTGCAAATATGTGCTACTATATACTGTGTGTATCATGAAGAAACTAGGCCAAAAAAAAAAAAAAGTGCTTTTTCTGGGAATTTTTACAATAAATACAGTGTTCTGCTTTGCTTTTGGTGAGGACTGACCTCAGGGCCTTGCACTGGGCAGGGAAGCGTGTGATCATCACAAACTCCTCAATCACAGAAAGGTGCTCTTAACTGTTGCTCACCAACCAATAGGCGTTTCCCACCTATGTGTTAGGAGATCAGGAGCAGCCTTCAATCTCTCTGTCTGCCTCCTGGCAGGCAGAATGGGAAAGCAGTATATCTACATATCACGCCTGCGCTAATCACTCAAGTGTTTGAAACGAAACAAATTACTATTATTATGGACCAGGCCCATCCATGCCAGGCCAGCAAGCTAAACTGACCTACACACCCAGAGCAATTACTTCTCAAATAACAGGGGCCACATCCAGGACCCACATCCAGGTAGTTCCTTCACAGGGAAGCTTTCCCTCACTGGGTCCGACACAAAGGAAGAACTCTGGGAGGCAAAGGAAGGAAAAGATGCTAGACTTGGGAACCTGTCATCTCAAGTTCCATTTTAGGGGAGCCAATTATTTCAACAGATTAACAAGGTCACCAGAAACTAGAGCTCAACCATGCTTTAACTTGCTCTGCTTTCCTCAGCGCCAACACTGAGAAGGAGCTAAGAGAACTTTTACATTCAGGGAAGCGAGTGCACCGTACAGCCACGTGTGCATACTGCAGTCCAAGGCCCAGCACAGAGTGTGGCTTTGGCCCTCACCTTGCAGGAGGAAGTAATCGGTGGCGGTGCGCTTCAGGGCAGCCTGGGCCTTCTCACTGCTCCAGTCCACCTCCAGGGCCTCTTTGATGGGACAGAAAACCACCTTCTGTTGGAAAAAGACACAAATATTTCAGGATAAACACTGGCTTTAAGTCACAAGGCAAGAGAGATCTTCCATGTCAGAAAAATTTCCTTATGGTTTACTGATCAGTGAAAGAAAGAGTGCCCACTGAAACATAAGCAGCGCTTGTTCAAGTGAGTCTCCTCCACTCCTCTGGGTACTGGAGACTGGGTGATGGGGACACACTCCCTGCATGAAGGAAGAACCAAGTTCCTGAACACCAGCTTCTCTTCCCCTCTGCCTAGTGTAACTATGGCTGTATTACACTCCAGAAATCCTTGCAACAGTGAGAAGCAGAACCTACATCTAAAGATATTCAAGAAAATAAGCATGAGGGGCGGGGAAGGTGGCTCAGTGGTAGAGCGCTTGCCTTGCATGCATGAGGCCCTGGGTTCCATTCCTCAGCACCACATAAGCAAAAAGCCGGAAGTGGCGCTGTGGCTCAAGTGGTAGAGCGCTGAAGAGCTGAGGGACAGCACCCAGGCCCAGAGTTCAGGCCCCATGACCGGACCAAAAAAAAAAAAGCATGATAGCTCAGGTCTGCAATCACACTCACCCAGGAAACAGAGATCAAGATCATAGTTGAGAGCCAACTGAGAGCCAAAAAAAAAAAAAGAAAAGAAAAGAAAAAAGAATGATACCTCCTCTTTTAATAAGTAGGTATAGTATTGAATCCTGTTAATTGTAGCTACTTGAGAGGTACAGGAAGGATTTCAGTCCAAGGTCTGCCTTGGGCAAGAAATGGGAAAATAACCTGAAAAACAGTTGGAAGCACAAAGGTTGGACAAATGGCCCAAGCAGAACTGTGTGCCCAGGAAGCACAAGGCTGTGAGTTCAAAACAACAAGCACTGGTGGCTCACATCTATACTCATAGCTAACTCAGGAGGCTGAGACCTGGAGGATCTGGAAGGCCAGCCTGGGTAGAAAGTTTGCTAGAACTTTTCCAGAATGATTCCCACTTTCCCATATTGATCCAATCACCCTTACAAAACCTCACATCATCCATGTTCCTGGGTGAGCCTGTGCCCATCCTTTTGGCCATCCTTGACAGCTGGAGGCTGGCAGACCATGCCTCTCCAGTTTGAGACAGCAGGACCGACTGCGCTTCCTTGCCCCCAACATACAGGGTCTTACACACAGTGGGCTGTTTTAGGGTGAGAAAAGTCAGCAGGTCTTTGCCCTAAACCTGTCATGAATACTAGGATCAGGATGCACTGAAAAACTCCCTCGGAGATTCTCTGGCCACCACCTGATTGTTCTGCTTCATGTTTGTGCCAGGCTGGGAGGACAATCAAACCCAATGCTGTCCGTCTCATGACTTCTGCTGGGCACCAAGGGCAGCAGACAAACTGATCCTGTAGCTCTGGGCCAGGCCAGATACCTACTTAGATGGTGTGAAAACCACAGGTTTTTTTTTCCTCTGTTTTGTAAAGTTTCTAACTTAGGAGCACACAGTGTACCCTGAAGCAGAAGTAGCTTTATATCATCTGACTGAACTTAGGAAAAAGGGGGAGGGGAAGGGAACTCTAACTAGAAACTGTTCACAGGAAACAGGAAGTAGCTGCCCCCCTTCCACCCCCAACCTGGGAGTACAAACCAATCAGTGACTACTAGATCCAGGCAGAAGGGTTGAGTCGAGAGCAAGGTATCTGACAAGGCCTGGAATCCAGGGACTGGGAGGAGGGGTGCCCCACATGCCTCCTGGGCTCTCAGATCTGGGTTGGAATCCCAGCTCTGCATTCAAGTGGAACAGCTGACCAACAAGGCAACGAAGTCAGCTGGGCAATATTTTGATACCTTCAAATTGTCCCGATATAGGAAGAGGCACACAAAGCCCAGGCCTGCAGAGCCCTGAGGAATGGGAAGTCAAGGCCACTGGGGCTGCCCACATTCTCTTCATAGTGACAGAAAGTGGCTCCCAAAACAGTAGCACAGACTCCAGGGAAACTTCCAGCTGTGACCTGCTAACCCAGCCCATTTGAATGTGAAACACACGCCTCCACTAGGAAAGGAAGGCTCCTAAACCAGAAAATCCTTCACACCCAGGCCAAGTGTCACTCCAGTAAGAGAGATTTACAAACTGACAGTCCACACAAAGCTGCTTCCATGCTCCTCCCAGCTTAACTCCTCCTCCCATACCAAAGCAGCACAGACAGTCAGATAATGCTTGGCTGAGGGAGAGAGAGAGGGAGAGAGGGAGGGAGGAGAGGGAAAGGAACAGGAAAGAAGGGAGGGAGGGAGGGAGGGAAGGAGAGAGGGAGGGAGGAAAAGGAAGGGAAGGGAAGGAAAAGGAAGGAAGGAAAGGAGGGAAAGGGGAGAGAAGGAAGAAAAAATCAAAGCAAAATAGCAATTCCAAAGGCAGGCTCTAGTGGCTACTGTCTGTAATCCTAGCTACTCAGGAGGCTGAAATCTAAGGATCACAGTTCAAAGTTCATGAGACTCATCTCCAATTAAGAACTAGAAAACAGGAAATGGCATTGTGGCTCAAAGTGGTAGAGTGTTAGCCTTGAGCAAAAACAAAACAAAACAAAACAATTCAGGACAGCACCCAGGCCCTGAGTTCAAGCCCCATAACAGACCAAAAAAAAAAAAAAATCAAGATAATAGCTTTTTGCTTAAGAGTAGTCTTTCTAATACTAAGTCCATACACCAGAGGTCGAAGCTAGTGGTCTATACAGCGAACAAGCCAAACAGGTTAAATTCTCTGTGGTCTCCACTGTACCAATTGTAAGGTCAGCTCCTGGATGGCGGAGCAGACTCCACCCTCCTCTCAGCAAAGTCTCCACCCAGTACCTGCGTTACCTAGGCAACTGGGACACGGGGAAGAGGTCACATCTGAATTTGATGTGGCCACACCTTTCTCCGCCCATACCCTAGATAAGGCCTAGCCCAGGCCCAGACGCCCTCTCTCTGCTCTTTTCTAGCTCTTCTCTTTTCTAGCTCTCTTAGCTCCTTCCCCAGCTCTCTTTCCCAGGCCTTTCCCCACCGCGTGGAGGACCAAGATGGCCTGGTGCCAGCCGTAACAATGAATAAACCTACCCCTTACCTGAATACCACGTGCGTGCTGCTGTTCTTATTTGGCTACCTCTTTTTAAAAACCTAACACCAATCACACAGCATTCCAAGTCTACTGCCAGGCTTCCAGTACTGAAAGACTACGCAAGCATACAGAATCTCCCTTTCAAATTTGGAGCCTTGGCCCACATTCCTTACAGCAACAGGCTGTTGGTATAACCATGGGACAGGAGGCGCAAGGTAGGTAAGCGTCAGTGGGCCCACAAGGCCCCAGGAGTTGGGCTGGGACCCTCAGTGGCTGTGGCTCACAGTTACCTTTTTCACCATTGTTGTCTCAGATGAGTCGAGTTTTGCCTTTTTGGTGTCAGGCCCATCTTCCACTCCTTGGCTAACTTTGGCAACTTTGGTTTTCTCCCTAGGGGATATGAGGAGAGTAAGTTCTACTTATGAGTTATTAGTATTAAAATGTGCTCACCCCCCCCCAACAAATAAGGTGGTAAGAGCAAATGCTTTCGTGTCAGGGAAATCTGGATTCAAATCTCATCTGTCAATGGATTATGTGACAAGTTAGCCACTTTGCAATACCAAGAGTTGGTACACTGCCTAGCACATAGGAGCTCTCCATACACAAAACAGGTAGCATGAAATCTTGAAAGCAGATCTGATCCCACCCTTTCTGCTTGGAGATCCAGCTTGACATAGTTCATGTTGTGCAAGAGAACAGAGCAAGCAGCTCCTTAAGGCACCAGCACTCAAGGGAGGGAGTCCACACCATAGGGCTCTTCCCCATCTCAGCCTTACAGGCAATAAATGTCAGATCCTTCCCAGGGGCTTTGATGCGAAGCTCCACCCACACTGGGCCTGTCTCTATCAACTAGGTTTACATCTGTGCTACCTACCACCTTTCATCTAGCAGCTCCAAATTCACAGCACTGTAGGTCCCATCATGAAAGAATCACAAGCTCAAGGTCCTAAACGAGGGAGAAGGGACGGGTGCTCCTGAGAACTATCTGTGGACCCCAGAGCTGAAGTCACCTGCAGTTACCCCACATTCACAATACTGGCTCTCTCTCAGCCTGCACAGACCCAACTACAAGCTGGAGAACAGTGTCGAGGGAACAAGCATGCCCCTGACATCCAGGCTGAAAATGTGGGCACAACACCCAAGGCGCAGACTGACCCATACCAACAGCATGTCTAGCATGCTGTTTACTTTAGATGAGACCATCATTTGGAGGGCAGGGGTCACATCTATAGTTTGGAACACACAAACTACTGCACTCAGCCATGCCTAGTCTTCAGAATAGTCTACATATTACAACAAACTACTCTTTACTCCTTTATACTGCTGTTCCTACTAGTGAATAAAAATTGTTACAACCCTTCCTCCCAATGCTTACTCAACAAACTCATGCTCTCCGAGATTGGCAAATGTGTAACCATGATAGCCAAAGACATCTCCGGTGAAGAACTTGATGCTGTTTTTGTGGCAGATCTGGTCAACATTAATGATGACATCCCTTGAGCAACCAGTCAGGCACACCTGCAGAAGGAAGACACAGGCTCGGCGAAGTCACCACCCTCATGTCTGACTAGGCCCTGGGATCAGCTAGGGGTAAACTGTGGGCAACACTGTCAACTGTGGTCAGTTTCTTTCTTTTTTTTTTTTGTGGTGCCTGAACTCTGGGCTTGGGCACTGTCCCTCAGCTCTTCAGCTCAAGGCAACCACTCTATCACTTTAGCCACGCACCACTTTTGGCTTTTTCTGCTAATGTGGTAGTAAGGAATTGAACCCAGGGTCTCATGCATGCAAGGCAAGCACTACCACTGAGCCACCTTCCCAGCCCCTGAGGTCACTTCCTAACACCTTAAAAAAAAAAAAGTGTTTCCTTAGGAAGAGAAAGCTACCACTCAGTCTCTCAACTCCACACAATCCACCCTTAGGGCTTCTGTGAAAAAAAAAAGGCAGGGATAACGCAGCAAGCTTTCCTGGAACTATTAAACCTATTCATTTCTAATAAGCTCAGAAACCAAGTTTACAGCAATCAGCCTTTCCCTTCCTTTTGTTAGGCCTGTAAGACAAATCCCACTGTCATTATTTCCCCAAATTTAAGGACAAGAGAAAAGATCATGGGCCAAGTGGCCTTCAGTTGGTTCTCTCTTTTTTTTTCTTTTTGATGGTCCTGGTAAACTTTGAGCCTGGGCTCTGTCCCTGAGCCTCTTTGTGCTCAAGGTTAGTGGTAAGCCACAGCCATTTCCAGCTTTTTCTGAGTTATTTATTGGAGATAAGAGTCTCTTAGACTTTCCTGCCAGGGGTAGCTTCCAACTGTTATTCTCAGATCTCAGCCTCTTGAGTAGCTAGGATGACACGTGTGAGCCATGGGCCTTTGGTTGGTTCTCTCTGCCACAGTGGAGCAGTTGCTCACTCAGAGTCCCCTGAGGCCTCCAGATGGTGCTTGAGGAAGTTGAGGCACTGGAAATGGCCAGTTCCACAGCACATGGCAGTAACATTTTGGGAGAAGCTTTGCGGGATCAGTTAACAGACAACTTCTGAACTATTTAAAGGGCATTTCCAGTTGATACCTGCTCTGCTGGTGTTTTATCAGTCTGGACACTGCAATACCATTGAGAAATTTATTCCTTAAGGATTCCATAGGATGTAGCCACCCAAGGAGGGGGGAAGAGAACCAAGGTAGAAATTATCTTAGCAGTGGGAAATAGGCAGTCATCTTCACCTACAATATGGGTAATATATAATCAATTGGCTTAAATCTGCTCTCTACAGTTCCAAGTTGACGAACACTAGCTAGAATAAACCAAATGTAGTTGCCATGGATAAGAAAAAAAAGGGACAAATGCACAGGTGGATCCATTGTTCCCAGCCCATTTTTGAGCAGATGCATGCACAAAATGAGACAAAACAAACTCCCCAACTCAAGCTCTGGCTTCTCCTGCAGTGGGTCTATCATTACCAAACAAGAAGAATCCCTGTGGCCACAGGACTTGGGAGTTTTTCCAGGGTACGGGGAACTCACTCCATGTGAAAGGTCATCAATACCACTTTGACACTGACTTTCAAAACTCAGTTTAGCTTTAACTGCTATAGCAAATGAGGCTGCAGATGCCTCTTGTCTGGAGGATGGTGGGAGTTCTATCCCGTTACCATGGTAAGTGGCTACTAAAAAACCACCAGACAAGAGACAGATCGAGATCAGGTGTGCTCCTTCTGAAGACCAAACACAAGCTGTACTTTGATATTTCTAACAATAAGTGCCGCTGGTGCCAAAATTTATCAACAACATGTTAAATTTTCAGGAGAAAACATTTGCCGTAATGTGCAAAGATTCTGGAAGGGAGATACAACACTAAACCTGGAGACATATGTCAAGGAAAGAATTCAGCAGACGGCAGTCACCAACAGCCACAACAGGCCTAGCACTGGACCTCTGCATAGAGCAACACTCTATGCAAAGTGGTAAACCTAAAGAACAGATCTTGGCAACTTCTTGGAAATATCAGAACGGGTGCTGTGAGGGTTCTGTGTACTCGCAAAAAAAAAGTAACTTACAGCATCAAACTGAGTGAAAAATGACTCTGTTTTCTTCTCTATGTCCTCTGTGTCCACTTTCACGTCCACCATGGGGTTAAGATTCTGAGCTCGCTCCAAAGATGCTTCGGCTCTATTTCGCCCAACAGACCCAGTACGAATCAGAAACTGAGCGCCAGGATCTTCAGGAGACACCTAGAAATATATGTATTTTTTTTTTATTGAGTTCTTCTGAAAAATGAACCTCAAAAAAATAACAAACCGGGGCTGGGAAGGTGGCTCAGTGGTAGAGCGCTTGCCTTGCATGCCTGAAGCCCTGGGTTCGATTCCTCAGCACCACATAAGCAAAAAGAAAAAAGCCAGAAGTGGCGCTGTGGCTCAAGTGGTAAAGCGTTAACCTTGAGCTGAAGAGCTGAGGGACAGCACCCAGGCCCAGAGTTCAGGCCCCACAACCGGACCCAAAAACAAACAAACAAAAAAACAACCTTCCTTTGAAGGATAGTTAAAATATCCTCAAATTGTATGTGAGTTCCTAATGCAAGAAATGCTCATCTTTCTTGAGAAAGAAAGCTGGTCACTTATAGCTAAAGAGCACCCCCTTGTGTTCAAAAAGGAAATTCACTCCAAACAGAAAGTCCAGGCTTTCTTTTTCCACTTGAAATTTGCAACTGGTCATTTGTAAATGGTCATTTGTAAATTTGGCTTAGCCTAAGCACTCAGGGAAATACGTCTGCAAGTGATTTCAGTTCAGAAAAATGCAAAAATCAGGGGCTGGGAAGGTGGCTCAGTGGCAGAGTGCTTGCCTTGCATGCATGAGGCCCTGGGTTCGATTCCTCAGCACCACATAAGCAGAAAAAGCCAGAAGTGGCACTGTGGCTCAAGTGGTAGAGC